TCATCTGCTCTTTTGACCGCGATGTTTTTTTTTTGTTATTTTGCCCAGAGAAGCGTCTCAATGTGCACCATCTCCGGCAGACAGATCGGTTATCTGACTGACGCTGAACATCGACACTGCGTGTTGAGTTTCGCAGCGACTGAAACATGACACGTTGGAATTGCGCGCACTGCGAGGGCATTGGCCACGTGGGAAAAGAGTGTGCCAAGTGATGCCAATCACTTTGCCCTCCATCGCGAGCATGGGCTGCAACACCTTGCTCCGATATCAACAACCCCCATGGTTCATATCGTCGTTGTCACTTGTAAAGTGCCTCGCTGTGACCCAGTCTGCCACACGAGGTGTGTTGAGTTTTACGCGATGATCTTGTCCTATGTGGGGTTATGAAATCGAAGGTGCGGCGATTCGCAGCCGATAGAACAGTTGGGTTTGGAAGAGGTTCATGAGAGATGCTGACACTTTTCTTGAGGTCAACACTAACATTAAGAGTGTAAAACTGAAAGAGGAAAATGTGTGTCATCAGCCAATATGTATAAGCACAATATATATTGTTTTATATGAAGCTTCTATGACTATAAGGGATTCATTAATGCAACATATGGCTACGTACGGTGCGAAAGAAGTTAAACATACATAACACGTGTTTTTTTGTAAGCACGTTCTAATTGTAGCGTTTTAAACTAAATGTTTAAATCCCTTTCAATGAATATTTGCAATCATCACAACCCTCTCAGATAACGGGCCAAATTACCATAAGCATGTTTTTTTTCACAGTTTTCAGTAAACGTGTCGCATTGCATATTCTCAATAACCACTGTAAATACTGTAGGATTTTTTTATTTGTTCGGTTTGCATAGGCTGGTGATCTGGTAGAGTACAGATCGTCAACGTGATCTGAAAAAGAGGAGTGTGGAGCAATACGCTGTGCCCATGAGATGTCCGCGGGTGGGCAGACAACCTGGGTTTGTTGATGCCAAGAAAAGTGTGACCATCAAGAGAAGCGACGCGACCACGAGACCTACGTGGACACCAGAGTTTCTAAGTCTTCGTCGGGTAGTCGTTTGTTTTTAAAATTGCAAATCTGTGTCGGAATGTTTTTCTTTATAATTCGATCGAACCACATCGAATGGGTACGCGTAGCCAAAGAAATGTGAGACATTTAAAAAATGTTGTTCCTTAATATATTTTGCAAAACAAACAGGCCTCATTAAGGCCACATGCAAGATGTGTGCAGCATCAGTGAAGAACACTGTTTTTACAGATGGATATTTAGATTGCGCTGGGTTTTTTTTTCTTCACTCAAAACATATCGCGAATAATATTTCTTGATCGAAGGTGGCATTTGGGTGGTGTGTTTTTTTGCTTGTTTTTAAACAACAACAACATCGACCACCGTGAAGGCAGTAACTCTGGCTGCTGCCCCGGGGTCCGGTCTCAGTACGGGCAAAACTTGGGCCGCTCAACTTTCCGAGCGGCGCACAGGGCGGCGGACGAGGAGGGCATTCCCGACGCCGCTTCGGCTGCCGGGGAGAATTGTGGGCTGTAGGCCACGTGGTGGTGGTGGTGGCTCTCGGCCCCCGGCCCGCCACGCTCAACGGTAAAACCCGCCGCCACTGTGTGAGCGGCAGCGGCCGAGGATGGGGCGAAGGGGAACGGCTTGAGGCCCGGCAGGATCAGCGGGTGCAGGGTGGGGATGTGGCACGGGTACGGAGGGTAAGGGGGCATCGCTGCCGGGGAGAAGGGCATCGGAGGCAGGGGCACGGTCGCCAGCGGCATGGCGGCTAGGGGGAGTCCGGCGGAGCTAACGGAGGTGGCGGCCGAATCAAAGCCCGCCGAGAACGTCACAGACGGATCGGGGGCTTTAGACATGTCTACACTGCGGACAGAACCAGCGGGCAGGGGGGCACATGGAGCACGGCAGAGGGGGCACAGTGGACAAAGTGGGGGGGGGGGAGGACGATAACAATGGAATTGAAGGTAAAAGGATGAAATGATACAAATAACACGAAATTAAAGTTGTAGTAGAAACAATAAAGGAAAGTGTGGGGTGGAAAATGTTGACAAGGGATAGTGTTTTTGGCAAGGGTTCAGGGGAGTGCTGACACATAAGGGTAGGGTCAGGGTACGGGGAAAATGTGATTTGGGAGCAAGAGAGGGAGACAAGTCACAATGTTAGAACTGAGAAAAAAAAACACTGGTAATAAAAGTTAATTTGTGAAAATTCTCCGGAGAGATTCTCGGGATTTTTTTGTTTGACAATTGGATTTGCAAGAAAAAGAAACAAGGGACAGTGTTACAGGAGACTCTGATATCCGCACTGTGGGTAAGCCGCATTCCCAAGTTCACCACCCTCTCAATCGCCGCTGCTATTTTGCGTAAATGCTGCGGCTCAATCTGATCGCGTGACATGCGCAGACATAAAAATCCCCCGAACAGCCTCACGCACCGCAAGGGCAAGTGCTGTTTCTTAACGAGCGCACGTTAACGTGAAGCCACGATGGGGCAGTGCGGGCAGCGATACGCCCAGTTTGCATTCATCTCTCCAATTCGGATGTTTTCATATTCCACGAGCTGCTCGCGTGTGAGACCCACTCGACTTCGGGGAAGGCCCCAACAGATTCAGATACAAGTTGCCACCGATGTTAACCATGACCAGGAATCCAACGCAGGCTCGGAGCGCAGTGTGCAACACCACTGCACAAGCACAACCAACCCCTTTTCCCACAGGCGCACGTACACCCGCAGCCCAGCACAATTCACAACGTGTACACCCGCCCGAACCACTGTGGATAGCAGAGCCTCCGGTGCGCGTACGTATAGCTGCTCACTAGATATCGTATTGCTTTAACACGTGTATTTCGATACGTTGACGTACCACATTCAATGTCATTTGTGCATCGGACGCATTTGACCACACCGCAGTTTGGCCGGAGCCTCGGATTGGTGATCAAATCGTATTCTTCACCGGGTTTTTCAAAGCAAAATAATAATAAAAAAAATGCTGGAGCAAGATAGGAGGATTAAGATGGCAGTTAACTTTAATAATTAACCAGTTGCAATGTTTGAACTAAGCCCACTAATTAAAAAGCTCTGGTTCAGGTTAAGTTTATCTCTTTCATTTGTTCTGTAAATTTGTCTGAAGGAGAAGCAGCCGTTTGTAATAAGATGGTCACGTGGCAAGCGTCGCTCTCCGATGCGTTTTCGGGTTGTGCCGCATGTCGTTCGGCACGTTGTCCGACGTTTCGCTCCACACGCTGGAAGCCATTCAGTTCCTGAAATACGTTCCCAACAGGTGCAGCAAAACGTCGGACATCATGGAACGCAACATGCGGTGCAACATGAAGCCACATCCGAGAGCTCTGGGGGATGTGTGATGACTACGCTCGTTGTGAGGTGATTTATTTTCATGAGATCGAGTCGTTTTGTGGGGCATCTTGTTTTAAATGCCCTTTACCAACTTCACCCCCCGTCTCCCCTGTTCAATACACGATGCAACAAAACTAAACAAAATTAATACTTAAAGCTGTCGACAAATGTGAATGTTATAGAATATCTTAGATGATGATGTAAGTGGGGAGGTGAAAGGGCCGATTTTGAGAGGATCGCCTTTATAAACAATAAAAATGTTTTTTTTTTATGAGCAAATGTAAATAACTCTGGAAATGTTATGAAATGAAAGCACAATTGGCGGTTCGAAGAATTGGCAAATGTAGGTGAATTTTTAGGGTCATATAAGATTCACGTTCAATTGAAATGCCATTGGGATTGTCATGACCACACGTTGATTGCGAGCCTTCTCTTTAAGTGTGACCGGTGAATGCACCGCACACATGGGCACGTTGTTCAACGGTCTCGAGTGAGAGACTGAAGTAGACCGCTCTCCCAACAAACTCTCTGGAGCAGTGGCTCTTTACTTTGCACCCCCTGGGCGTGCGAGATGCCCTTTCTGGAGGTGCGAGACATGGCCAGATGTTTTTAGAAGGCAAATCATCGAAACACAAATTAGGCACGGGCACGTTCAGCACAACTACTGTTGTTTAATCAAACCCATTGCGTTCATTAACATTATTTTAAAAATTACGATCGAGAACCAGACGGGGTGCGAGGCTGCAGTCAAGGTGAACAACCACTGCTCTAGAACACGGCCACTTCGCCGCGAGTTGTTTGGGTTGCCGCCGGGAGCCGCGGTCCGGGCTCAGGCGTCTGCGCGCCGAGCCCGGCAGAGGGAGCCTGGACTCGCACTGCCAGGTGGCAGTGTGACCACCAACTCGACAGGACTGTTGGATCACACTCCACCGGGCGAATGCACGGGCCGTCTGGCCAGAAAGCCCCACATTAAGTATACCTTGGCATTTTGGAAAAGGGAAATTTAGCACAAACTCTTATGAACTCTTCACTTTTTTGTTCGGCAATCCATAACACCGCATTGCATGCTTTTAACAATTATTCGTGAACAGTTATACGGGGCACTGTTTTGATCACGCAGTCGCATTGTTGAAGGAGTTAGTTGACTGGCAAAGGTGAAACGGGGCACGTGTGGAGTTGGGGGAATGTTTTATGATGATGATGATCATGATTTCGATAAACTTTCCTGGAACCTGTTGCTCAGGTACAGATTATCTCTCAAGATTGGCCACAGTTATGAGAAGCAACAAAACCTCATCATCTGATCATTAAACTCCAGCCTTGGTTCAATAAATAGTCATCACAGGAAGCACTTCTTGTGATTTGGACTGGGACGAAGGGTGTACATGACACGATGCTTTATGGAACTTCACTGTTCCATAAAAAAAATGTTTTACCAATATCGAAAAAAATCACACATACACGTTGCAATCTGTGAGGCTACTACTACTCCCATTTCTATTGCAGTAGGGTTATGATTGTCGTGATCGCTGCCGCCCCCCCCCCCATTCATAAACACCCCCCCCGCCCCCCTGCCAAACCTCGACTCTCCACTCCGTGGACTCCCCTGCCGAGTGACGTGTCAGACCTCTCAAGTCAGAAGACGAATCATGGACAGAAGCGGACATTGGGGGATGCGATGTTGAGTCCTGGCAGCGTGAGACTGCCGCGAGTACGTGTAGCGTCACCATGCAAATGATGACATGCATCGAGTGTTTTGTTGTTCATGCTGCTATCCAGTTTGTCTTTAAATCACGGTGCAATTTCTGTGTTTGACCCACAGCAACAACAATAAGAATACAGATTAAACCCGCCACCACCACCACCTACCGGGTGGCACGAGATTGACCGTCGATGGCACGGGGACGATCGTTACATAACATTCGTCTGTAATGCGTCAATGGCTCCCATGCTAGAGGAGGAGTGGGGGGAGGGGGGTACCGATCGCCACAAGCGCCTAAAGATTTGAGAGGTCCGATTCGTGCCCTTGCCTGCGAGTTCCCGCACCGCCCCACCAAACCAACCACCCCCCGCGACTGCCACGGCTCACAGGACGTAGAGGGTACGCCGGGGCGGGGTGGGAGCCGCCCACCTGATGCCGGAGAGATAATGCGCCAGTCCTGTGGTGGGGCTGGACACATGCTGCTGCTGCTGGTGCTGCTGCTGGTGCTGCTGTTGGTGGTGCTGGTGGTGCTGCTGGTGGTGCTGCTGGTGGTGCTGCTGGTGCTGGTGGTGCTGCTGGTGGTGGTGCTGCTGCTGCTGATGGTGCTGGTGATGATGATGATGATGATGTGCGTGCGCGTGGTCGCTCTGGATCACCAGCGCATGGCTATGACAGGGGGCCGAGGCGGTGGGAATGAGCAGCGTGGGATCCTGCGGCTCGTATGGCGGCAGCGGCGGCGGCAGCGGCGGTGGCGCCGCTATCGGCGGTGCCTGGGCTGCTGACGAGGGCGGTGGGAATTTCATGTGAGCGGGCACGGGCTCTCGCAGCTCATTAATCTTGCTGTGGCCCTGTCTGCCGATTACAAATTCCCGGTTAGCTGCAGGGGCACAGGATAACTGCCTTATGGACAATGCACTTCAAGCACACATTCCATCACACGTTAATGTTAATGCACAAGCAGCAGTGACGGCGCGGGGAATAGTGAGGGAGGAGGGTCGGTGCGAGGAGGGGCAGGTGTAGCGGTGATTGCCGTGGCTCTCCGGCGTGCCGTCAGGTTGTACCGCTGCGTTGTTCGCTGTGACGCCCCACGTGTTCGCTCCACGTGCTGGAGGCTTCGCCAGAAACGAACAACGCACGGCGGGACAACCCGAAAACGCATCGGAGAGCTGTACAGCGCAACTGCGAAAGCCTGCGCAGTTGCTTGCTGATAATGTGAGATCGCCGAGTGACGGCGTGTGGCCAGGGTGCGAGCAGGCACGGCATGACACTCAAGGTCGTAGGCATATAACGACGCGTCGATTCATCGATTAACACACACGATGCATGCATTGAGGAGCGTGCGTAAGAACTGATTAGGTTTTACTTGTGTAGCGTGGAGTGCCAGCGCAGCGTTGGGCGCCCTGGGCTATGAACACCGGCGACTCGAGATCGATTTCCAGCCACGGCAAACGACAACGGCGAAGTAATACCTGAACCAGTTCCTGGAAACCGCCTTCACCAACTTGCACTGACCAGCGTGGTGAAGTTTGACAAACAACTCCCGTCACTCAGACAGCTTGGAGAGAGAGGGCTTAATCCAGCAGTGGATTGACAAAGGGCTGTAAAATTAATTCGTTGATGTGATATTTTACAACTAGATCACGCGAACCCTGAAGGCACCGCAATGTAAAAAAAAAATGAATAAATTTCACTTAGAAAAATTAATTATATAATCACATCGCAACTCTGATTAGTGACAATACATCGAACTGTAGCCGGAGGAGGGGAGTTAATCGTTATATACCTCGCGGATGGCATGCCCCTGTCGTCTGTAGGCTGTCTGCTGATTGCTAACAGGCTGTGAATGAGCACGCTCGGCGCTGGGACTATTTAATCCGCGATCAGTCAGTGCGCTGTCAGAGAATCATTTCAAAAGGGGAAGATTTTGTAGGGAAAGGGGAGTGCCTTGGTTCAAAAGTATTATAGATGGGGCACCTGCCTGAGCTCAAGAGCATGCTCCGTCGTCGCTGCATACAAGACAACGTCACAAAGTTTAGTGGGTTCTTTTGTGCGGTTGTTTTGTGCACGTCATGTGAACTAAACCGGGTGAGAGATCATTGCGATAACGTCGTCCTTTCTTTGCAAGGGAGACCTGGGATGGCAGCAAATAAAACTGTGTGCAAGCGGCGGCGGCGGCGGCGGCGGAAGAAGGTTCATTGAAATAAAAGTAAAAACGTTCTTGTCAACCGAAATCAATGTGCGCGCAGACACGCCGCAAAAACATTTCACCGACTGAGCAGAGAGCAGCACAAACAACAAGATGGGAAAATGGAGCACGGGGTTCGGACTGAGATGCTAACGCAATGTGATGCGGGGTGAGAGGCAATCATAAACACGAAACTCCTTCACTGCCCAGCCGCACACGCAACTCTTTCTCACACCGTCGCTCTGGAGGAACGCGCGGCGTTGTATTTATTTAACGATTTAGTAATTTTATCAAAATATATTTTGTAACCGCCCATCTAATTATTTGTTGCTCATTGATTTTTGTCGTCATCATCATCATCATCACCACCACAAATAGATTATTTATAAATATACAGTAACGTTTCAAAACAAATGCTAGTCTTACACACGAAACCAAACAAGCAAAATGTGAATTATTATTCTATATATCCCAACAGGCACTAATGGGTCGTAATTTCTTAAATGTCTACCTTCATACGCATGCCTTCATACAGACTCGTATCTGTTGCACGATAGCTTCGTGCAATGCGGATGACCATGAATAGTTATTTATATTTCATTCTATTCTATTCTTGCGTCTGATAACCTAACACGATCGGGGGCTGCATGCCACTGTCGAGGTCTGCTGGCCACGACTTCAGGAGAGAGACTCCGTGTGGTGTTGCTGTTCCCCCTCCTTCCTTGACGGTGGATTTGTTCTGCGGTCCACAGTGCGGGTTTCATGGCCACAGTCGCACTGCGCCTTGTGTTTAAATGATTTATTTTAAATAATATACAGTCATTCCTGGAACAATAACCCGCGCAGGAAACAGAGACACTCACCGACCTGCCTGGGCTCGAATGAGTCCCATCAACCACCTGACCTGGATAAATCACGGCTCATGATGCTGATATTTGTCCTGTTTGCTTTGTAGCAGCTGTCCTTGTGTGGCTAAGTGAGTGCCCGCTTAATGGTTGAGGGGTTAAACAATTGATGGCGAGATAGAGTGGACGACAAAGAGAGAGAGAGAGAGAGAGGAAGGGAGCAAGAAACGCAAGCGGAGGATGGAGAGTGTGAGCACGTGACGGAGGCTGGGCGTGCGGTGGATGAGAGAGTGAGAGAGCGGTGAATGAAAGAGTGAAAAAGTGATGGAAGAGGGCGAATGACTCCAAGAGCCAGCAAGAGATGAAGAGCGGTGGGTGAGCGAGAGACAGAGCGGATGACTGAGAGAGTTAGCGAACAACACAGCAAGAGATATGGAGAACGACAGAGCGACAAGAGCAAGAGAATGAGTACAAGAGAGATTGAGAGAGAGTGGGTGAGCGAGAGACAGAGAGACTGAGAGAGGGAGGGAGGGCGAGCGAGTTAGGCTGTAGATCATTCCAGAAGGGAGGGCAGGCGGGCACGACACATGTGATCACTCCCGATGTGCGGCCAACGTGGCGGAAAGTAAAGAGATGGGCGCTCGCGGCTAAACAGCAGCACACAACAAAGGCCTGTGCACAGAGGACATTGCGTGGGCTCTCCGCTCACTCTCTGCCTCTCTATCGCGCATTTGAGCAAAAATTACCAGACGAAAGAATACGGGAAGGTCAGCTAGAAACATCCATTAATTATTCATACATGTGTTAATTTTAGGCCCTCCAACGCTGTAACGTATTTGTATTTAAAGACAGGTTCCCTCAGTGACAGTGTTGCATCGAGCAGAACGTATCTGGCGATTGGACGCGCTGCGGCTTGCTGATGAGTGCTAAGAGCTTGAAGCCTGTGCAAGTGTTTCGTGGAGCTGTTCGCTGCGAACTGGTCAGCTCTAGGGCACTGGCGTGCGCTCAGCACACAGACACACACACCGCTCAACACACACACACACAGACACACACACACACACAGACACACACACACAGACACACACACACAGACACACACACACAGACACACCGCTCAACACACACACACAGACACACACACACCACTCAGCACACACACACACCACTCAGCACACACACACACCACTCAGCACACACACACACACAGACACACACCACTCAGCACCCACACACACACAGACACACACAGACACACACACACACACCACTCAGCACACACACACACACAGACACACACACAGACACACACACACAGACACACACACACACACAGACACACACACACACCACTCAGCACACACACACAGACACACACAGACACACACACACCACTCAGCACACACACACAGACACACACACACAGACACACACACAACACAGCACACACACACACAGACACACACACAGACACACAGACACACACACACACCACTCAGCACACACACACAGACACACACACAGACACACACACAGACACACACACACACACCACTCAGCACACACACGCAGACACACACAGACACACACACAGACACACACACACCACTCAGCACACACACACAGACACAGACACACACACACACACCGCTCAGCCCACACACACACCACTCAGCACACACACACACCGCTCAACACACACACCGCTCAGCCCACACACACACAGACACACAACAACAACCGCCATTCGCCACTAAGTGGCGGTGACGTCACCACGATGCTTGTGCCAGGCCAAGTGCACCTTGAGGCCACGTGAAGTGTCGAAAGCCCGCTGGCAGGAGGTCACGGGGCAGACCCAGCAGGTGCCACGGGTCGACTGACCGAGATGACCGAGATGACTGGCTGATGCACCACCTGTGCCCCCTACTGTGCCGACTTGCTGTGCTTTAGCCACCCGGCGCTCCGCTCGTTGTTGTGAGCGTCGCTCCTCCGCCCTCCGTTGTTGTTGGAGGGCGACTGCCTCCAACTGCCCAGTAGCGTCCTTCACGAGCCTCCTCCACTGAGGCCGATCTTGACACCGCTGGTACCAGTCATCGGCAAGTCCACTCAGCTCCACGTCCTCCTGTACCACATCACTCCATCTCTTCTCCAGCCCGTGCCGCGCCCGTCTAGCCCCCTCGATCCGGCCGAACAAAAGCTGTTTAGGCATGCGGTGGCTGGGCATGCGGGCTACATGACCCAGCCAACGCAGCCTTGCCTGCCGGAGGAGCTCACTGATGGGACTTTGCCCAGATCTTTCAAGGATTTGTGAGCTCCTCACACAATCCAGCCTGGTTAAACCCAGGATGGATCGTAGGCAGGCCAGCCTAAATGTTTCCAACCGGCGAAGATGCTCCACCAGGGGGGTCCACGTCTCGCAAGCGTAGAGAAGGGAGGGAATGACCGTGGCCGAGAAGACCTGAAGCTTCGTGCGGAGCGACAGACCAGGTAGCTTCCACACAGCGTTACGCAACCGATGAAAAGATATTGCCGCTCGACTGATTCGGAGTGAGACCTCTGCTGATAGACTGGAGCCGGTCATAAGCACACTGCCCAGGTATGGGAAACTCTCCACTCTCTCCACAACTGCCCCATCACCAATTGGGAGTTGTGGGGGTGGAGTGTCCGATGGTACAAAATACCCAGGCAGGTGCTTAGTTTTGGTGGGGCTGATGGTAAGGCCCCACCTCTTGGTGGCACGCTCCAGTCTCAGCAGCAGCGTCTCCAACTCCTCTTCTGAATGAGCAGCTATTACCAAATCATCGGCATACATAACGTGGTTGACAAATAGGGAGCCATCCCTTGATCGCACCCGGGCGTCGATCAGCCTCCCATTATATCTGTACCAAATGGAAATTCCTCCGGTACAGCTATTGAAGGCTTCACGAACTACGCGGTCAAAATAGATGTTAAATAATGTGGGAGCCAGAGGACATCCCTGTCGCACCCCAAGGTGTACAGGGAAAGGCTCCGACTCCCGGCCACGTAGTTTTACCCGGGCCCGCTCACCATCATGAAGGTCCTTAATGATCGTGAGCAGAGGGTCAGGGACTCCGAAAGCACGAAGAACAACCCAGAGCCCAGTCCTACTGATGGTATCATAGGCCTTGACCAGGTCAATAAAGCAGAGATGTAGGTCTTTTTGGAATTCCCTACACCTCTGCTGTAGCAGACGGACAGAAAATATGGCATCTGTGCAGGACCGCCCTTTCCTGAAACCGCATTGGGGCTCCGCAAGCCTCTCCTCAGCGTGCCTAGCAAGGCGATGTTGAATAATCCTTGCCAGGACCTTACCCGGCACACTGAGGAGTGAGATGCCCCTGTAGTTGTTACAGTCGGTACGGTCCCCCTTCTTAAAGAGGGGAACCACCAGGGCATCCTTCCAGTCCTGCGGAACCCGTCCAGTGGTCCAGACTGTTGTTATGATGTCATATAGGGCAGTCTGTGCACAAACGCCACCCTCCCTCAGCATTTCGCTTGGGAGATCATCTCTGCCCGATGCCTTCCCTGGTCTCAGACTCCGGATCGCCCTCAGTACTTCCTCAACAGCTGGCACCTCAGCCAGCCACTCACAGGGGGTGACCTCTTCCAATATTTGAGGCACCGCAGCCTCACCAGGGTTGTCACCACTTTGTGCCATGATGTTTTCCTGGCTGAGAGAATTTCCCTCCCCCAGGACTTCACAGAAATGCTCAGCAAATCTGCAAACCTGTTCCTGGGGGTCGGAGATTGGATCACCGTTTTTTCCTCTAATGATGGTAATAGGTGTGGCGCTGCAGGTTACTTTTTTGATGGAGTTAAATAGTGATTTGTGATCACGGGCCACTGAGGCAGACTCCATCTCCTCAGCAACCCGCGACCACCACCCATCCTTACAGCGCCTTACGGCTCTCCGAACTTCCGAGCGAAGGCTGCGGTAAACCTCCTCATTCTCTGACGTGGGATGCTGTAGGCGATGAGAGTGGGCCTGACGCTTTTTCTCAATTAACCTGAACACCTCCTCTGTCAGCCAGGGTTTCTGGGGAGGTCTGGACCGCGTACCCAAAGCAGCCATTGCAGCTGCATGAGTCACAGTCTTAAACCTCGCCCATTTCCCCTCGACATCAGGTGGAGTGGGGGACGATGCCAACCCCAGCTGCAAGCGATGATGAAATTCTCGCTTGCAACTTTCATCAGCTAACTGAGACCAGGCCACTTTGGGTTGGAATGGGATCCTGGGTGTACACCCACCACCAGAGTGGAAGAAAGGCAGGCGCATCTTACAGATGACTAGTCCTCGCCTCTGGTTGATGGGAAGGCGAGCCCAAAGTATCCTGGGGCTTACAGCTTCCCACACCTCACCGCCACGCTCCCATGCCCCCTTCATTCTTTTGTTCAGAAGAAGAGCCACACCCTGTTGTTTGGCAGTCTCCTGCCCCGAGTAGAGGACTGTCCACCCCTCATGGTGGCAGGAGCCAGAACCGGTCCACCGGACCTCCTGAATGCCACAGAGATCCAGGCGGTACCGGTCCAGCTCCCGACAGAGGAGTGGCAGCCTCTCCTCCGCAGTGAGCGTTCGAACATTCCACGTGGCCATCCGCAATGGTTTTTTGTTGTTTCTGGAGGAGCCCCGAGGGTGAAAATTCAATCTCCTGGCTCCGCCAAATGGGGTTTGGCCAGGAGACGTCATACACACACACACAGACACACACACACCACTCAGCACACACAGACACACACACACAGACACACACAGACACACACACACACAAACGCTCAGCCCACACACACACACAGACACACACACACACAGACACACACACACACCACTCAGCACACACACATCGCTCAACACACACACACCGCTCAACACACACACACACCGCTCAGCCCACACACACACACACCGCTCAGCCCACACACACCCACCGCTCAGCCCACACACACACACACACAGACACACACACACACAGACACACACACACCGCTCAGCCCACACACACACACCGCTCAGCCCACACACACACAGACACACACACACACAGACACACACACACACCGCTCAGCCCACACACACACAGACACACACACACACACAGACACACACACACACCACTCACAGAATGCTCCCCCACGGTAGATGTTGCGCACAATTTTTGAAAATCGAAATTAACTTGCATGTGCCCCTCGAATTTGAATTCACTAAGAGGCAGGACCTCAGATGACCCGTCGTCTCGGTAAAAAGAGGCTATCGCAAATTGACGGCACCGTTTTGTAAACGATGAATGAGCGGCCTCTGATTGCCACCACTGGGCTAAGTGCTCTGCATGTTACGGATCAATTAACTTGATTAAAATCGGTTCTTGAGCTGACAAACACTTGCATCGAATTCACCTGTAACAATCAGTTATTTACAATTACTGCAAATAATCTGCCACTGAGGCTAATTGGGGCAATAGCAAGTGTGAAAATGAGACAGAGCAAACGATAAACAATACAAATTGTTGGCAAACATCAGAGAAAAATAATGGGATAATGGGCATGAATTGTGACAATTCGTCAAATCACTTGGCGGGGCGTGAGAGTGCGAACATTCCATGCTCACCAAACAACTACACCGCACAATGCAAAGTACAGCAACACAAATACACCGATGCACACACCCACACAAGCATGCACACACGGCGACAAGACAATTATTCAACGTGTTCACGCGTCGGGATACCAGGACACTGGCATTGCCTCGTGGCCTGGCAGGGGTGGGACGCGGGAGACGGAGGAGCCGTCAAGGGTGGCCGCAGCAACTCACATCATGGGGAAAGCCGAGTTCATGAGCACTTGTCTCGGCAGCGGCATCCACACTTGCTGCGGGGGTCAGAGGGCGCGGGGAAGAGCAACGCTCGCGTTAGGGCGCCCGCTGCAAGGGAAGGGCAGTGGCCTCCAGTGCCCGGAGTTTCAGAGACACACGCACGCGGCCGCTCTTAGCCCCGTGTGGCTTCGATACGGCATCTCGTATACTGAGAAAATAAACCACGACTATATTTTGTTAGCAGGTAAGGCCACAACTGAGATATATAGCAATTGTTTTTAGAAGCGACCTGGCTCTCACAAATGATAGCTCAACAAAGTAGCTGTCACTTTAACACGTAGCAGGCTTTCGCGACCAATATTATTCATAATCAACGTTTTTGGGTTAGATCGCGCTATTTATAAATGTGGCGTAACCCTTCACCACCCGACACGGCCAATCAGCAGAAAAAGTGTCACGTTGACTAAAGACAAATAGTTAACTGCTTTAGCCCACCGGTGTGTTGAAGCGTGAATCCACAACATTTACAATTTTTGAGTATGACGTTTCACTGGTAATTGCATCCAGCATCATCGGGCAATTCTCCAGAATGGTGAGGCTCTGCTCTTGCTCTCGGTCTTAAATAGTGGCTTGTCGCATGTAAATGTATAGCAGCCAAATACTCTAAACACGTTTCTAAATGTGGAGGGGAAAACCGGAGGACCCGGAGAAAAATCTGCTACGACCAAGAATAGGCTTGACTATTTCTGGCAATAACACAGGAGGTGTTAAGTGTTCAAACACGAAACAGATACACCTCCTATTGCAAGGCATCATGCCTGCATCAACCACACGTACTTGTGGCAAAACATGCACACAAGCATGATGTGTCGCCTTTTAGCGTTCTCTGGTCCAACAGCGGTGAGACAAAGTCAAAGAGAAGGCTGCCTCAGTTTCAAAGACAATGCAGATATTATCAGAGCATATTTGTGAGCATGTTTTTGCCACAAGTACGTGCAGACTCGATTCCTTGCAATATGAGATATCTGTTTTGTGTAAGAACATCTTAACACCACCTGTTTTATTGCCAGAAAGGGTAAAACCTATTATTTTGTCATAATTTTAATACTGCTAAAAAGGTATACTCCTCGGGAATCGAATATCTTTTTGAGTGTTGGTTGCATGTGTAGAGTCAGTTTATGGCGCTATTGTTACACCTCGTGCGTAGTGGACTTTTTAGGGGTGCTCTTGATTCTCTACCACATGAAGCCGCTCATGAATGAAGAGTTGTTGGGGGAATAAGTGTGGCTGCCTTTCCTGGATAAACAATTGGCCTCGGTATTATGTAACTGCAGTGTACATGCTGCAGTGTGTGTAATGGTGATGGTGTTCACATTCAGTCATCTAGCGTAACAACCGGGCTACGTCAACAGATCAACAAATGGAAATGTATTTTACTGACGGAACATGAATTGTGCAAAGAGGAAAAACAATTCCTACTGCGTTAGAATTCGACCTGCTATTCACTGTGCAGAGTCTACGCATGCAGTGTATCTACAAAGACAAAGACACCCCATATAGACTTAAAGAGACCGTTGGGGCAAGTGCTGTTAGCGATCACCTATGAAGGCCAGCACGGCACACGAGGGGGTGAGTGGTCAGCACCACGCCGCATCAGGTACTCATTTGAGGCTGAGTCTACCTAGGGGAGGCCCAGAACCGGTTCAGATCATCGTCACCGGTGTTGGCTGTGAGCGGGAATCGAACTCGGGTTGCCGGGTTCGTAGCGCAGGGCGCTGACCACTACACGACCGCTACCCACGCGCACAAACACATTTGAACAATGCACACATGATGTGTAATTGCTCAGCATGCCTTGTTTAACCACCCCTACCCCTAATATTCTGATTAAGCCTGCACACGCTGAAAGCCACATTAGTTCAGCGAGCCGAATAAATGTCATTTGGTAAGCCCTGAGCGTTTGGTCGTTAGCGCTTTATTGTAAGCGGCATTATATTTTGATGGAACAGTTTCGATTCGCCAAAGTTCGCTCAAGTTCCTGTGGAGATGCGCTTCGTGCGAGGTTTGCGAGATTTGGGAACGCGCCGCTGAGCAGCGAGTCCCCTGCGGTGACGGACTACCTTGCAAGACTTTGTTTGAACAGTTTAGGGGCCGTCCATAAATGACGTCACGCGATTTTTTACGATTTTTGACCCCCCCCCCCTTCGTCACACGGCGTCACAAAAAGTCAGACCCCCTCTCCCTCAAATATGACGTCACAAAAACTCTGCCCCCCCAAATAAAACATGCTTTAAATCGCTTTAAACTATTGTCATTGTAGTGCGTATTTAATGTGGCGCTGCACTCTGATGTTGTAGGAGAAAACATTTATTTAAAAGTCTATTTAACTAAGTAGAACGTGTTGTCTATATTTATTTAAAGTTGCGCATTTGATGTGACGTCACATTTCTCAAACCCCCCCCCTCCCTCGTCACACATCCACTGGAACAAACTCCCACTGCACATAAAACAACATCATCTTCACTCACCTGCTGCTGTTCCTCTCTTAAACCAACCCATCATCTCTTAAGACAACCCATCTCGTCTCCCTAGCCCAGGGGTAGGCAACCGAAATAACAAAAACAGCCATTCGTTTCGAAATCTGTGGAAAAACAACCCTCAATATTTCAAGAGCAGCAATGCACCACTACCCCTGTCACTACCCCTATCACTACCCCTACCCCTGTCACTACCCCAACCCCCATCACTACCCCAACCCCTATCACTACCCCAACCCCCATCACTACCCCAACCCCTATCACTACCCCTATCACTACCACAACCCCTATCACTACCCCAACCCCTCAACCACTCCCAGCTGTTCCGATAACTGTCACAATAACTACACCATCCCTCGAAAGAACTCCGCTCTTAGTCTCAACCTCTATCATCTTACGTACTATTTAATAATTGCTGTAAAGAGCCTTGGAGTAAGGCGCTATATCAACCTATATAAGTAAAATATCCATGTGCGCTGGTTTAACGTCTTCTCCATATACGGCTGATGCTGTTGTTGAGCAACAGCTATAATTTTACGTTGGACTGGTTGAGGCAGGGAATTGCGTTAGGAGTAGCAGGGTGGGTGATTTACTATAACAAAGGTTTTTTTGGGTTAGATCGCGTAAGTGTCAATGTGTCGTTAACCCGCCACCAGCCGACACAGCCAACCAGAATCGTCCGATGATGCTGGATATAATTACCAGCGAAGCGTCATACTCAAATTGTAAATGTTGTTGATTTCCTCTCCATAACACGGGTGGGCTGAAGCAGTAACGACTTGTCACGTGTTGTTTATGTGACAAACCTTACTGGTTGGCTGTGTCGGGTGGTGGCGGGTTGACGACACGTTTATACATACGCGACCTAACCCAACAAAAACTTTACTATGAATAATATTGGTCGAGAAAGCCTACCACGTGTCAGAGTGATTCACTGGGGTGGTGACTCCTGCTTCGTATTTGTGAATGGGGCATTGAGTAGTTCTACGGCCCACAGTCTATTCTGGGTCAGCGCGGTCTCGGCACAATGCCGGAGATTTTAAAAATGTTTCCATTTGTGTATCAAGTATCCACATAACTATTAGGTGGTCTTCATTCATCAGCGGTCAGTGACTCGGTGTATGACTCAGTGTCCACGTGACCGCAAGCATGGTCATCGAGTCAATGTGAACAGTTACTTTGCAGCGCATCTCGTGTGCTTTTAAAATATTTTTTAAACGATAAACTATTTTTCTTTCACCAGGTAAGGCCTTAACGAGCTGTATAGGTCTTTGACAGAAGCGACCTGGCCACGAATGAAAGCTCAATGTAGTGGCCTGTCATGTGGAAATTATAGCAGCCAAATATTCTAAACGCGGGATGTTGATTCTAATTGTAGAGTGAAAAACCGGAGGACCCGGAGAAAAATCCACGCAACCACGTGGAGAGAGACACCGCAAACTTCAAATATACAGCAGGCATCAATGTCGGGATAAAACCCACAACCTCATGTGTACCAGGCGAGGTAGTTAACATCTCGCTACCATGGCGCTTGTGTTTACCTTATTCAGTGTCTCACTCAAATGTAGCTCGCTTTCTGCATTACTGCGTATAATAATGATGACCTCCTTTTGTCTTCAGCCCCATTCTATGTAGCTAAACAACACCTAAGTTTCTCATCCTAATTCACATTTATTTCGTATCGTCCCTGTTTTAGTTTGACCTGGGTCACCCCCCCCCCCGCCCCCCACATTACATTATCGAAATTTGAGTGTAGTTTTTAGAATCCTTATCCAGAAAAGCCTCACCGATTATCAAAGGTCAAGCCTTAATGATGCCGAGGATGTGACCCTAGTGCTTCCTCTCTGACATGTGGAAGGAAATCAGAGTGCCCGGATGAAACTCGTGCATACAAGAGCAGCACAAAATTTTTGATTTTAGAAAAAAATTACATGTGCTCACAATTCGAAATTTTGCACACTGCAACTAAAGGTCAAGAGCTCTCATTTAATGTTTTTTTTTTATTTGTATCTAATGTATGGACTAAGAACATTAGGATATATATAATCTGCATAAATATTCAAGTATCTTCCTGTGGGAGAAAATAAACAAAAAACACCAGCCATGTCACAAGAGCATTGTTGTGACATCACTGCTACTCCACCGTCAATGTCAATGCAGTGACACATCTCTCGGGTGCTAGGTGTGCCATTATAGCACTCTCTCACACTTCAAGGTATTTTTTCTCATGAACAAAGCCTTCAGATTGTCATAGAGTGCAGAATACACAGTCTACGTACACATCTACAACAACTATTTCTGTTTGGGTTACATCTTTATCAAATTTGAAAGGAGTCACTTGACCCTACGACCAAATCACCCAGAATGCACTCGGTTGAATCTGATCGAGGAACCTAAGCAAAGTGAGCCTGGACAGTGCCTGGATGGGTGGCCGCCAAGTATAAAACAGGTGTTATAGGCTCCCACGGTGTTCCTTTGTGGGCACAATTGCCACATATGATCCCTGCCATAACCTAGCCACACTGACCATCGTTGTGGAGTATGATCAAATAACCACGCTCGCCGCACCACAACCCGCACGGCATGGGGCGGTGACCCTCATCCAGCAGTGGACAAACACTGAGCAGTCACTTGAGCTGCGTGTGTCGCCAGCGAAGCCTGGCAAGTGCTACGGTGAGATGTGCGCTGTCAGTGGCGTCCACTGAAGTCTCACCTCGGGGTGAGGGACGGCGTACTGCCCCTGCAGAGCGTAGGCCTACGACCGGGACGGGGATAGGGGGGCATAGCGACACCGTTAAACATCGCAAACAGCAAACTCAGCTCGGCGCCGCTTGTGGCTTACTCGGCGGTGGTGGGACGGTGACTAAAGGAGGAGTCGCAACTAAAGGAGAGAATGCACCTGAGCATGAGTCCTCCGCGAAGACGGAGCGATGAAGTGAGCCTGGTGATTCTAGATTTGAAGCTTTCGTGACTGCAAGTTTTCATATTCTTAGGTTTTTTCGGTAAAGTCACGTAGGTAAAAAATTAAAATTAAAATCACGACGTTTCGGAGGCAACACAAGCTTCCGTCTTCCCCTGAAGACGGAAGCTTGTGTTGCCTCCGAAACGTCGTGATTTTTATTTAGTCACGACGCAACTCACGCCGCACACCGAGTCATTATCGTTATTTTTATTTTACTTTTATTAATTTTAATTTTTTACCTACGTGACTTTACCGAACGCGCCGCTGAGCAGCGAGTCCCCTTGTGTTGCCTCCGAAACGTCGTGATTTTTATTTAGTCACGACGCAACTCATGCCGCACACCGAGTCATTATCGTTATTTTAATTTTACTTTTAGTAATTTTTATTTTTTACCTACGTGACTTTACCGAAAAAACCTAAGAATATGAGCCTGGTGATGTTTGTGACATCGCGGGATCGTCAGAGATGGCAACTGCATGGCGAGGCCTTCGTCCGGCAGTGAACGGACCGCGGCTGACGATGATGTGATCGTAACTGGCAGTGGACTCTACCTACTTTCTTAATTAGTTGGCTCTCGGATGACGGGGATTGTACATTTGTAAGTGTTTGGCATGAGACTTAACGCACCTTACAATTTCAGGATGACTCTGTCCCACGAGTGAAACAATTCAATCCCCTGGCAATGTTTTAGAAGCCCATATGAAGAAAAATGACGTTTGTATTTTTGTAGCCGTAAGCATGGACTTGACTATATCTGTGCACATTTCATTGTTTTTCTTGCCCCAGGTTTTTAGAAGATCAATAGATATTGAACGGGGAGCTTCTTCAGCTCCGGAGGAAGCTGCCGGTGGGTGGAGCTACCGAGTCGTTATCGTTACGATGATGCAGTTGAGTCGAGGACACTCAGGTGGTACCCATCTCCTGTTGACAGCCCTGATCCAGTGTCGGAAATTCCACATTCCTATGGCATGGCTGATTCTCTCCATAGGACAACCGCCGTTAACTTCCCCACACAGTGACACCCATTATATCGGGAGGATGGAGTCAACCCACCCCCCCCAACGAGGATTTGAACTCACAACCTTCCAATCGCGAGCTGCACTGGGCCACCTGGCCGGCTACAGCGGTCAGGCCCATCACCGTGGTTTAATGGGTTGTGTCGTGAGTTGCGTCGTGGATTGCGGCGTGGATTGCGTCGTGGGTTGCGTCGTGGGTTGCGTCTTCGGTTGCGTCGTGGGTTGCCGCGAGCGGGGAAGCCTACCTGCCCTCCGGCAAAGATGACGGGTGCAGCAGGAGGCTTGGGTCGGTAGGGGATGGTGGCTCCCTTTGGAGGAGACTGACACCGTGAGTTGTTGGGGTTGGCGCCAGCGATCGAACCGGAGGCAACAAAGAAACACACACCACGAGAATTCATCCCCAGGCACAAGCAGACGCAGAGATGCCCTGTTCATTGTGACAATGCTGCCGACTGTTTTGTGTGTAAGAATGCAGATGATTCATCCAGGAAAAAAAAAAAGCATCAATGACTCCCAAAACGTTATCAGGAGGGTCCTGCATGGGGATGTTTGGCCGATTCGATGAAGGGCACGTTTGGGTTCGCGTGGGAGGAATCCGGAGAACCGCGAGACACTCCACGAGCGGGTGATGCTCAGCACAGCCATCTCCTCGCCACACCTTGCAGCTCAATACCCACAACATCCAGCCAGGCCCGCTGTTCATCCGTTCATATTCTTCCAGAAATTATGCACTCTCAGCGTAATTTAGTAGTCTATAGGGGCAAGTATTGTTAGAGAGCAGCTGTTAAGGGCCATAATAGCACACGAGGGGGTGGTGTGCCCAATACCACACCTGCCCAGCCATCTTTGTACCTTTACTCCACCAAAACACAAAAAATGGAAATACCAAATCACGAGTCAGCTGAGCCTTTCTTGAATAAATAGATGATTGTGTTAACCACCTGAGAGCCCCGTAAGACAAAAACGTCTCTTTTACAAGAGACTTTGAGTGAAAACAGAGAAAATTATCCGATTAAAATGTAGCATTTCAATATTTTTCTATATTATCAGTACTGTATTGTTAACTTGTCGTTTTTAGGCTTCCAACGTTTCATGACCCTGGCTATTCAATCAATCGTGACAATTCAGTTTGGGTCCCAATTCCATTTATTAAAAAAATTGTCTAAATTGCAGTGTTTCATTTGTATTGCCCGTCTCGTATCTGTGTCACCTTGTCTGCTTTGTGTTGTTTGTCCCGTTAGAATATGCCTTACAAATATTCTACCCTTGCGCACTGTGCTTCGACACACATGTACGGGCGTAAGAATCGATCTTAATGATTCGTTCCACACCGAATCGTTCTTCCATTAACGCTCATTCCAGCGAAACGTTCGGTTTACTTAAATAGCACTGACAAAGTGTGTTTACGATGGGCGGCGAGCTGTGGCTGCGACTTTAATTACGTTCTCAAATACACGACGGAGGAGCCATTAGGTGGTGCACAGCGGATTCCCGAAGCGGCCCTTTCTCTGTTGTATTATTTCTCTTCTTAGAGGCTGCACCATTAAGCCAGTCAGCCTCTTCAGGAAAGAGGCTCTTCCATCTTGCTAATCATTTCTCCCACCTCGTGACGCCATTCACTTGCTCACAAAGAAGCTCGGCTCTAACCCGAGTAGCTATTTATTGCAAGTGACTCATAAATCGGTGAAGTGTTCGGACGAGAAAAACAAAACAAAAACCTGGATTAATTACAGCAGTCCAGTACTGCTGTGAATTGAATCATCAATGGTGCCACACAAATTGGTAACGGTGCCAATGCCGGGCTCTGGTTAATAGTGAAGCGATGAAAGGCGTGGGCAATGTGACAGGACATCTTCTTTGAGTGCTTGTCTCAACTTTAGTTTTTATCCTTCTGATGGGTTGTTTTCTTACTTCATTTTAGAAAAATATTTTCAGAACTCTCACTTTGCAGATTTTGCGTTTGTGCAAAACTTTAATTGTCTGTCCCTTCGTGTGCATGTCTGACTGTCTTTCTACCCGGCTGTCTGTTTGTCAGTCTGCCCACAGTCTGTTAATCTGAAATACAATGGCCAGAAAGTTGACTCTCTCCTACGTGCACACACAACATGGCAATGCCATGTGACTCGCACTCGTCACAATTACCCCGACTGCTGTTTGTAGATCACCTTTGCGTGCGTATTATTATTATCTGCATGTGAATATATAATCATTTACAAAGAGTCCTGGAATTGGGTAATGTTTTGTCGCTGTGTGTGCGTGTCAATCTGCCTGCCTGTCCACCGAACTGTCTGTTCATCAGTGTATCTGTCACTCCGCCTGTCAGTGTCTGTGTGTCGGTGTGTCTGTCACTCCGCCTGTCAGTGTCTGTGTGTCGGTGTGTCTGTCACTCCGCCTGTCTGTCTGTGTGTCGGTGTGTCTGTCGTCAGCCCCTCTGCCCTCCCTCCTCGATGTCCCCTGCAGTCACGAGCCGCTGTTCCAGCAACTAGGGCAACAGTGCACAGGCTCCTCGTCTCTCCTCCCTCGCTTCCCTCGAATCCCCCCACTCCCTCTCTCCTTTGTTTCCTCCTCCTCCTCCTCGTCCTCCTCCTCTGCTGCGGGGTTCACCTCCAGCATGATGACGCAGATCTGCTTGACGCACTGGATGATGGCCTCAGGGGCGCCTGACACGGTCACCGCCCTCTCTGTCGAGTTGGGAAGCATGTCGCCCGCCACCTGCACCTGCGCTCCTGTCGACTGCACACACGCACGAACCCCCCCCCCCCCCGCACCGACCACGGCACGCACACGGCCCCCCCACAAACGCTGCATTAATAACTCGTCCGATCGCAGCGCACGCTGGCCGTTTGCTTGGCGGTTTGCTCAGCGAAGATGCGGCGACGGAAAGTAGGCTGTTACTTGGTGAAGGGTGTTCCAATAATAGCAGCGTCGCTTTTGGAGTAAGACTGATGTCAAAGCTTTCACTCGAGGAGACAGATTGCACCGGAATGGACAGATGCGCGGAGCAAGGACGAATGGACGGACGAACAGAGGGATGGGCAGATGTACGGACAGAGACAACAGAGGCATGGACGAATTAGCGGATGGATTAACTCATCAGAGGCCCGCACGTTCACAGAAAAAAAGACTAAAGGGGTGAAAGACGAGAGAGTGGAAGGCGCACCAGGGCTGGTGCTGTGGACACAATTTCTGAATGAGCTGCAGGGGAACTCCTCTTCTCCGCGATGATATGGGGACCAATATTGTAGATCCTGTTTTCCGAGGGGTTATCGGCGATTGTACGCCTCTAGTCCGCTGGATAAAAACTTGTGGATAACCCTCCAAGTACTAGCATGAGTCTGTCACGTGGCTCCCCTCACCTGCAAAAAGGTGAACATTAGGCAGCGGCTTCGCGATGCATTATGGGTGAAATCTCGGATCATAGCAAGAAATAGGGCTGTGGATAATATGAGTTTTCACGAACCCTACCACATCTGTCCTCCCATCAGTATAAACGTGTACACCACAGTTAGTAAACCGGCAGCTGGGTAAAATGTGGGTGCACCCACCTCTTCCAACAAGTGTGGTGAGCGTGAAAGAGTAGACCACATGCCCGCTTCTAGGGGTTCTCTAGTGGAGGCCCTTCAAGCAGCAGTCGCGTGAGCGAGCAATTGCAGGGCTTCGCCTTGACCATTTACATGCAACTGCATCTGAAGGCGCTCACAGCACGGCGGGACGTGTGCACCACGGGGAACGCAGGGCGGTGTTTACATTTATTTTGTAAAAACAAAGCGCCACCGAAAGCACCTTACAGAGGAGGAGAAGGGGAAGATCGTGAACTCGGGTGGGAGGTCACGAGCGCAACCTCCCATTGAGCAGGGTAGCAAGCTTCTCGTGCGTTGGGTCTCGCAGAGGAAGTCAGAGCAGTCCTCATTTTGTCAACGCGCGCACCGTGCGGCATTCATCAATTCCTACGGCGTGCAGGCCACGGATGGCGTTTCACCATACTTCACCCACGCTGGTCATCGTCCCCACCCCTCCACCCCCAGGGTCACCTCTCGGATCTCCTTGATCTTGGAGCCGCCCTTCCCAATGAGGGAGCCACACTGGCTGGCCGGCACCACGAGGCGGAGCGTCACGGGGGGCTTGCTTGTCACCGCGCTGTTCGCCATCGAGGCGTTGATGTCCTGGTGGGGGAAGTGGGGGTATGCGGGACGTGGATAAAAAGCACGTGAGGGCCCTGCCTGGTCACTGCATCATCGCACGGCGCTTTCAGATGCGCTTCTGCGGCCATCTGGAACGCTCTTCCTTCCGATATTAATTACAACTGTTTATTTGCGTTTAGTTTGTCGTCCTTCTCCCTGCACCTCCGATTAGTGCGGCTGGCTTGGTACGGTACGCAAGAAGTTCAACATCCATACGTACATATAGTCAGCACCATTTCTGTGACTCAGGCATTGAGTGTCGCGTTTTCTCTGCTGGGGGGGGCTGGCCTGGGTGCGTCCTCGTCACCAGGGTGTAGGGGCTTTACAGGTGACGTCAATCGTGAAAATGTTTTAATGAAATCCTCGAGGGACATTTTTAAGAGCCCCAAAATAGCTTATCCCGCCGTTTACAAGTATACGGATTCCATTGTGATCCTCAATTGATTAGACTGCGCCCCGCCATCGGAACGTGGAATTCCCACCGCTGGCTCAGGGCCGCCACAACGGAGATGAGCGCCACCACAATGCGGGCATGAGCAAGAAAACACCGACGGTCAAGTAACTATTTTACTTAATTTATTTATCCAGGAAACCATCGATGAGTGTCAATACTTTTTAAGTGAGGTCTCGTGTTAGAATTTAATTTCAATTTTCAGAAGTGTTTTGACTTGAACGAGTCAAAACCCAACCACGGTCACTCCTTTGAGGGATGGTTCGTATTCCTCTGACGGCAGTGAAATGAATGATAAAATGAGCAAAAACATAATATTACTCATCGTCATGATTATGTCAGCCAGCAGAAGAAACCTCAGCATTTTGCTGGCAATGCCCACAATGTAGCCCACTCCCTGCCTTCACCAACCCATACTGACCTGGGTGGTGAAGTAAGAAAAATGCCATGGCTCATACGGCATAGGGAGGCCGTCATCCAGCAGTGAATTGACAAGGGCGCTGCACATACAGAGGCTGACAGTACCTGCCTGTCCTTCCCGCTGTGTAGACACTGGCACCACATGCTTAATGCGAGCAGTGGAGATGGGACTATGAGTTGATTATGTCGATAATTGGATAACAATTGTAATTCATTATTCTATGTGGTCAATGACTATACAAATGGAAGCTGCCCCACATCCTGCCTCCTGAAGGCTGGAAACCCCCTACAAGCCACGCTTAGCGTGACGAGACTGATGATGCAGATGATTTCATGAATCCTCACCTATCACCTTCCATCTTGCATAACCATAAGTAAAACAAATCTGCTACTTTTTTGTTTACCCAATTACTGTTGTGTAATCGAAGCGATAATCGGCAGAGTAATCGGTTACACAATCACTTGGATATCCAAAGCTCTTGCGAGCTGCGCGTCCCATCGTCGCACCTCCTCAAACTTGTTGGTGATCATGGAGAAGGCTTTGAAGATGGCGTCCGTCTGTCCGGTGATGGTGACGATGCGCTCGGGGCACGATCCCTCCGAGATGTTTATCCGTGCGCCACTCTGAGGGCAACACGCGCCGGCACAACCCCACACGCAGGGCTCACCCATCGCTCGCTCGCTCGCCAACTCAGGAGATGGGCACTTCTAAATTATATTAAACGTGCCAAATGACACGTATACCGTAGAGCCACGGTGTTTAATGCAGGGTATGTAGTGTATAATGTAGTGTATAATTAGTGATGGACAGTATCAAAATCATACGTAATAAAACTACGTAATTTCATTACACTTGCAATTGGTATGGAAATGACACACCTCAAAGTAATTGCCCATTTGTTTTGAAGTTACATTTACTGCAGCAATTTGTATATGAATGACCCTGGTGGCTGTATTTTGCCCATCTCTGTGCTTAATGCATGGGGGGTGTAAGCAAGGCTGGGCTGTTAGAGGTCAATGTAACGGGTTTCCAGTCCACACTTTAACATTTGCATAACTGTCATTGATGTTCGTAATATTTTGTTTGAAAAAATAATTTGGTGAATATCAGTGGAAACGTTCTATTCAGTGAACAGGCTGAAATTGTGTGTACGTCCTCGATATTTTGCCAAATAAAATGCATCTTGGATGCGGCGAATAAGTCTTCACTCAGAGTTAGCTGCATGTGATGGATTCCATCCAATCACAGAGGGTTTTTAATCAGAACGCTACTGAGAAATACGATACACGTGGCAGGTTCCATCTTATCAGAAACAGTTATAATCAGGAGTCTACTGTACAAACAGTGTGCATGTTGCAGCACACAAAGCCAGTCGTGGCCATTGCAGAAGAATTCCATTATGGAGAATGGCAAAGTTACCCAGTCTATTTTTGTACGCATTCTGATTAGAATCAACCGAGTTATTTCTCCTGCTTCGTAATAAAACATCGGTGACTGTTCATTTGAAAGAGTTATCCAATGGCAGGGGGCACGTGGATGGCCACAGTGAATTGCTTGATGCAATTTCGAAAAATCATTGCCATTCTTTTTTAGGAATGTGGTGAATTTTTATTCAAATGCCTTCAGTCAAGTGAGCATTTGGTCTCACAAGAAAGCGTGGTTACACTTTACGTGCAAAACTGGAGAGTGACAGCAGCGACAGATGTATTTAAACGTGCTGCGAGTGATGTTGGTTTTTGATGTTTACCTTCATCATGGGACCTTTACCATCTTAACACTTTTATTGCCAGATGCGATCAAACCAATTCTTATATTTTGAGACTGGCAAGGGAGTTCCCATGATGTAGGTGCTCACCCCGAGCTATAAATGCCCTGGTAGTGGCACTGTCTTTGTGCTGTTCGCCTCTTGGCGCTCTCTGATCTAACGCTGTTCGAGACGATGCTCTCAAGATAGCCGTGTGGTTAATGCAGACATGGTTCCTCGCAAAGGGTTTCTGTTTGGTGTTTTAACATCTTAACGCCTGTTTCATCGACAGAAAAGATAAAAGCAATTCTTAGAAGTTTACCTCTTCCCGCATCTTCTTCACCGTCTCCCCTTTCTGCAAAATAAATTGCGAATTGCCGCATCACTTGATGAGTGTGACAACGTGGGATGAAGCATCTGTTGTTCTGCGTGACTGAACGCGTCGTTTGTGACCAATAAACTTTCATTCGGTGATTCGAGCCAAAAAAAATAGCAAGATGTGAAACTCAATATTTGGAGAACCTCTGAGCATTAAAAAATAATGAATCGATTGACATTGTATTGTTGCATGTGTGCTCTGAATAGAGTTTGCTATTTTTGACAGTTTATTTTGAAATCGAGTTCATCACAGGATCTAAAATATTTCATGAAAACAGACCACACTGCAGGTGACGAGCTAAGCAATGAAGAGTTTGAAAAATGTGACAACAATATCTTGTGAGACGTACCTTTCCAATGATGCTTCCCACCTCCTGCAGTGACACAAAAATCATAACAGCACGTACACAATGTTCAGTTTCATTACGATTATACATAAATGATTAAATCTGTGCTTTCAAAATGCGAGTTACATAACACTGCAAAATCACACGCGAGTACGATGACTGTAAAAATTAACCCGTAAAAACAAAGTTTTTCACTATAAATCCTTTATATGCGTGGCGGCTAGAGTCCTCTCGTCCTCTGGCTTGAGATGGCTGCCACCTATGTGTCAGATGATTGTCTGCCACCATTAAGCAATTGGTAATTAAATATTTTTTTAAAAAATCCCTAAACAGTGTAAAATTTTGGAAAAATTCACGAAAATTAATTGTCACGCACAACGAGTCTATGTGCAAAATGTCAGCTCGATTGGATTACGGGAAGTGGGTTAAAAAACGACCGAAAGATTTGCACGGTCGTAAGCAAGCAAGCAAGTACGCAAGCACGCAAGCAAGCAAGCAAGCGAACTTAATATAAAGGATTTAAAAATAGCTCATGATAAATTAAAAGGCACTAAGACCAGTGCTTTGAAGCGACACACGTGAGTGTGTTGATGCTGCACCTAACTGAATTACATCGTGTGTGTTTGTGTGACGTATTTTATGATTACAACATGAGCTGTCATTAAGATGAAGAAAGTATCAATATGCATATGAGAACGGGAGTCACACAAAGAGACGTTATTCACGTGTTTTCGAAACATCGAATTGGGGAAACGAAAACAACAATGGTAGCAAGGTGGCTTATGAACCCAGCTTGGGATTCACGTAGATTGACTCAGCCTAAAAGAAAGATGGTCATGAACATGGGCACTGGGGAGACAGAATAATCTGGGTCTATGCTGCTCGCGTCACGATCCTTCCGTGTGCCTTGTTAGGTGCTCGCTGACAGCAGTGAAACTGAGCTTCGCACGCTCGTTCCCCGACGTGAACCCGCACATCGCAGACACGCGGTCTTCGATGTTTACCGAAATAAAAAATGACACTTTTTGTCCTGCTTCTGAGAAATATTTAAAAAAACCGATTTCAAAAGAAAAACTGTCCTCACATTGTAAGCCCAACAAAGAGAGATGGGGAGGCAGTGGTAGCGGGGGGAAAAAAAAAGTCCCGACTAATAACACAAAACAAGATTTTTTTTTTCTCTCTCCGCCTCTCACTGCGATTGAAAGGGACGTGAATCTCGTCCGCTTGGGCCCTGAGCCAGCGACGGGCCCGTGAAATCCGTTCCGACGGATGAGCAGAGCGAGCGGCAAGCCCCCCCCCCCTACTCCGCCCCGCGCTTCATTAAATTCTCTTGCTTCGTGGGCCTTGTCTCGCCCGCGGGCACAAGGGCGGCTCCACGCCGCACCGCTCGACAAACCCAACGACGGAATCCCTCCGCGCGACGCGCAGAAAACCGACACCAGATCGCGCTGCGATTCTCCCTCGGCAGACGCGCGTTCAGATTCTTCTTTAGATGATTTTTTTTTATGGCTGCTGTAAATTTCTGTGCGCTAAGCCACTTTGTTGAGCTTTCATTTGTGATAGCCAGGCCGCTTTTAAAAAATAAGTGAATAGGTCAGTGGGCTTTACCTGGTAAGATGGAAAAAAAATGTTTAGTTTTATTTGGATATTTTTGTTAAATGATTTGCTTACATTTCCTATCATTTGTACTCTTATCGTGTTTTGTATTCTTTGTTGTTGTAACGTTCTGACCTGCCCCTCCTGGACATCTTTGAAAATAGCTTTATAGCTCTTTTTCTTCTGTATAAATAAATATTCTGATTCTGATTCTGAAATAGAGTTAATGGCTTTGCGTCATGAGAACGTGGAATTTCCCCTACCCACCACCTGCAATTCTGCAACTGATGGAATAAGTGGAATACTGCAAATATGGGAAGTGATCCCACACCAGACATGGCCGTTTAAGGATATTAATCCCGCTTGGCAATGTGTGTATTTTAGCAGTCTTGCAAATTATTTCATTCCCCTTCGTATGTTTCGGCATGCCACAGCTAGACACACAATTGTCAGCACATATCGAGATGTTATAGATTATGGCAAATATAACAATTTCCCTGGGGCTCTGTGTGGTGAAAAATGTAAGTAACGTGTTAATTTTCATCACAAAACAATTGTAAGTCTTTGTCACTAGTCGCAAACTCCAATTGTAAGCCTATCCACAAATTGCCTCCTCCCCCCCCTTTCAGCCCAACTCTCATCACAATTACTCTGTTATGCTGATCAAGATTGCTGGCCCTGCCAAATGACAAAAACTGCCTCCCCGCTGCTGCAATTGGTCAAAGTAGACAAAACGTGACGCAGGAGAATTCAGATTGAATCATCCGACGCACACACGCGCACGCACACACAAATACACACATGCACAAAAGCACGCACATACGTACACACACACGAAACGTGCGCTGCGGAAAATGGCTTGTAAAAGCCATCGGTGTATGCCTCAGCTGGTCATAATACAGCAGCAGCTGGAGAAAAGCACACGTTATATAAGCACCGTTCTCATAAAATAAACACGTGCTTGTATTGCACTTGGTGGGGTCGGGGTGGAGGCAAAGGGCAACGTCTGATACAAGTACACTGCTTCGGATATAAGCACACCTGAACTTGCTCCCGGGGGGGGGGGGTGCTTTTACGCAGCTTCAAATGGTCAATACTCTTACTGTCGTTTATGAATTATGCTGTGCTCAATTCGTGTTGAATTAATCCTTCGTTAAATATGCTGCTCCTCCACCATTGTGCACATGTCGTCTCTGACTTTGTGCGAGGGACCTCCGCTTGCATGAATTCTGAGTGCGTTTTAAATCGCACTCAGTACAACGTTTGGTGCCGTATTTTAGTTTCAATTGCGCGAAAGTATTCAACGTTTGAAATTAACTGCATCATGCTGGGTGAAATGTTTGGCCTTTTATTAAATTGCATTACAATTTATCGTCCCATCGTTATTATATGTACATAGTTATTATATGTACACCGACGCGGCATACAAAGCACAATGGCAGACCATGAAGATGTATATTTTTGTTGGGTAGACGTTTTGGAAACCAAATAAAAAAAACTCATGAATTAAAAAACACACAAAAAAGGCAAGAGAGGAGACAAATTGGAGTGACTTCAACATGAAGAAAGTTTTGCCTTTCATATCGACACACATCTAGCAAAACGAATAAAATTCCATCGTCTGTAATAAAAAAAACTATGTTAATTTAAAGGAAAATTAAATAAAAGCCAGAATCGTGTGATTGTGACTGTGCAATCTAAACTAAAGACCATATCGCAAACCACTGTAGTCTGTGCTCTTTCAACGGAGGAGGAACAGCAAAACGACACGAACTCTGCTGAAGTCCTCTGGTCGTGGCGAGCAGACTTCCACGTTGGGATTTATCTCCTGAACATATTGCCACACGCAACAGTAGAATATAAGAACAATGTACACCCCTTTATCAATCCACTGCTGGATGATGAATAATACATTCCACAATCCGCAACAGGGTAAATATTTTTAAAATCCAGAAGAGGGCTTTTTGTGTTTTGTTTAAATCACAGTCGCTGAACAAGCACAGACCCAGGGGCCCCGAAACGTCAAACAGCCAGAAACATACAGCACGATTGAAATTGAAAGTGCCCGCCATCACCCGCAGGCGCTGCTCTGTGTCGTGTGAAACGTTCATCTTGTTCCACTCCCGCATCGGCGAGCCGCACATGTCGTGTCCGAGTGCGCCGCGCTCCCTCCCCATCCACCGTGACAACCACGCCGCCACAGCGATGAATGTCCTCACCGCGGGGGGGGGGGGGGCGACCGCGCGTCCCCGCCGCGTTAAACACTTCCAGCGAGCCCTGGCGACGGTCGCTGCGCGGAGCCGCACAATGGGAGCCGGACGAGGGCGGCCGTTGTGGTGGTGTCGGTGCGGCAGGGCTTTGCTTCGGGAGTGGAAGTGCTGTCACGTCTCTCAGTGAGACAAGGCTCAACCACAATCACCATCGATTGACCGACCGACCAACCGACCGACCCATCGACCGACCGATCGATCCATAGATCAACCGACTGACCGATCCATTGATCGACCAACTGACCGATGCATGGACCCATCGACCAACCGATCGATCAACCGACCGACCGACCGATCAACTGACCGATCCATCGACCGATCAATCGACCGACTGACCGCGTCCTCTCTTGCACTATCCCCCTAACTCTGCCAAAATGGCACAGTGTGCCAGCTGCGCTGTTACGCCCAAGGGTTCGTCCCAGCGTAAGTCACCGTGACGTTGGTGTGATCGGAGGTGCGGGAAGCGGAGCGCCGCGGTGTTTGGAGCATGGTCCTGCACCTGCGCGTTACAGGGGCGGTGACGCCGGCCCAGCGGCGGCACGATCGCTGCGTTTGTGTCGAGGTTCACGGCTCGGAATCCAGCGGCCGCCCTCACTATTACCGCCACGTAACAACCATAACAATACGACTACAACGTGCCGTCTGCTTTACGGTAGACGGACGTTAAAGATCCCCTGACATCATTCGCTAGAGCGGTGCCATCGCGTGTCGGCGTCAAGGTCCAAAGTAGACAAATTAGAAAACTACACCGCAAATTATTCAATATTCTTTCGTATGGCTGCTGATGTAGATGCAACGCAACGACGACAACTTCACATTGAAGTGGTCAAGTCAGAAAACTGCATCAGGAGCAGCGGAGTGTATCCCTGCGATGTCTATTTGTGGATGGGGCATTGCGTCGTTATACGTTGGGATTATACACACAGCGGCAATCATCACCGCCTACTTGCAGACTAGTTCCCCAGGGTCCCTCTTGCAAATGAAACTATCCTGGTCTCTTGAGCTCTCACCTAGTTAAACAACATTCATTTGAAACGAGTAACCTGATCAAGGCCTACTACACCATCAAGGGGACAGGACTTTGGCTGTTCTTGTGATTTTGGTGGTCCCGTGACCATTGAGGACCTCAGCTTTCCACAGACTTAACAATCCGTTTTGGATTGGAATTTAAATGTCTGAGGGCTTTAAAGTCCTGCCTCATGTCTCGAAATGTCTTACTGCAGGTGTATTATTAGTTTATTTGTTTGTTTTGCATAATCGTTTAAGAGAATGCCACCCTTTTGTAAAAGTAATGTGACTTGAGAATGCGGTTGAAGGTGTTTTGCTTCAAAACTAGAAGTTCTACTCTCATGATTTCCGGCTCATTTTTCCACTTTCCTTCTTACTGAAACTACGAGAGATAAATAACTGAGACTTGTTTTTTTTTACTTTTTTTGCATATTTCTCGCTTCATCTGTAACCTACAATTGACTGGCTACCAAACTGCACGGCACAACCACGAACATTTCACACCCACCAATCAATGTAACAAAGCTCTGCAAGATCATAAAACATAATTTTAATTCAACCACGAATTTTGTATTTAGTTTTGCGACATAGTGTAGGAACCTTGAAGTTTGTCTTAAGAAGTGCTGTGGTTTAAATGTAAAATTTGTAAAAAAAATTGGCGAATACCTTGGAAATAAACTTAGAGGTACAATTAAGAGTTAAGAGCCTGAGCATGGGTGACTAATATTCCTGAGGTCAGCGAGGCTTGGGCACGTGCCAAGAAGAGACGAAAACGGATGTTTACCTTCCTATAATTTGCACTCCGACTGTGTTTTTGTACTGTTTGTTGTTGTAACGTTTTGACCCGCCCCAACTGGACATCTGTGAAAAAGAGCTTTATAGCTCATCGGATTCCTCCTGCAGGATAAATACAGATTCTGATTGTGATTTTGAAAGAGTAGAGCTGTGGAGGTGGCACTGGCGCAGGGTAAAGGAGACGCGATGGAACGAGACATGAGGGCGGTGGATGTGGCCAGAGAAGACACGCAAAATAGAGAAGCATGAAGATAGAACATTTAAGCAACCAACCCCATTAAATAATTGGACTTTTGGCTGAACAGAAGAAAATACACCTAGACCAGTGTAATGACACGGGAAGGTTACGGTCATAACAAAACAATCAGATTTGCATTCATAGCGTGTCTAAGTACAATTCCATCCCAAGACGCCGCACAAAAACAGCGTGACATACGCATCACGTAGACGGTAAACATAGACAGTACATTTCGATTGAAAGCTTTCGTGACTGCAGGGATTCATCTTCTTGGTTCTTTCGATAAAGTCACGTAGAAGGGAAATAATAAAGGGAAATAATAAAATAACAAGTAAAACATTTATTTTATTATTTCCCTTCTACGTGACTTTACCGAAAGAACCAAGAAGATAGACAGTACACATTTTAAACATACATTCGAGAAATGAGACAGAAGAGTAGAGGAAAAGACTAGAGCCTGAAATAGAATAGTGGCAGGGAGCCACCAGCACGGACGGCTGGAGGGGAAGAGGACGAAGTCCCATCCTGTGAGGGCCACAGAGGAGAGGGGCGACCTCCCACTGAGCACAGGTCGGCTGTGGGTTTCGACAGGAGGGCCCTACCATTGGTGAAGGTGCAATCCCTGCCGTGCGTGTGTCGTGAGCAGGGCTTTATTTCAGACCGGAGCTGTCCAGGGTCTAACCCACCCACCCCACTCCCCGCGCTGTTAGGGAGAAAGCGGGCGGGGGTGGGACATGGGGGGGGGGGACGCCTGGAAAACATTCTGTGATGAGAGATTAAGCTCTGGCCGCGAGTGGTGGGGTGGTGCCGTGCGGTGCCGCCACTCGCCTTGCCGTGCATGAGCAGGCGGATGGTGAGCGTCACGTTGAGTCCCGACTCGGTGATCTTTCCCTCCATCCTGCCCGGGACGTAGCGGCGGGGGGTGCTGGAGGGACAGGGTTTTCGGGGATTGCTAGGGGGTTGGTACGGCAGGCACGGGTACACCTGCGGGCACACACACACGCGCACCCCAGCCGCGTCAGACAGCGCGTACGTTCTTTTGCAATCGCGACGAGTTAATTTCCGATAGTTCCTGTCCGGAAAATGATGACGTAAAAAGGCAAACCACGTCCAGTTTTTCTCCTGCTATGGCTGTGGCTGCACGTCATGTGCCACCTATTCCAGTCCACCAGTGACCAGGAAAATATTCAGGGAGAAATTAAGCCCCGCTTATAGATCCTAGGTATGATTGTGTGTGTGTACACTCGATGAGTGACTGCATGATGGTGGACAGCACACTGAGCTGCAAACTCGGCCAGGCATCTCGGTTCAATGGTGAACGACAACTGACCTGGTCCTGGGGGTCCTCTGGGTCAATTCAGCCTCACATGGGCACTCAGTGAGGGTATGCGACTCCAGCACTGGGAGACAGCGGTGGCCGAGCATGGTGCTGATGACGCCACCACCACCGTGTGTGCCGCCGGTGCAGCTTTAATAAGGTCTCGCGAACAGCAGTCGCCCAAACTGTGTGGCTCTTGCCGGGGGGGGGGGGGGGTGGACGTTGTCTTTGTGCGTGAAGAGCAGCAGCTCCACTCCCATTGCTCGTGGCTTCGTTGCCGATCTGGAGAGGTGCGATGTTAACCTCGTGCTCAATTGACACCCTTGCGAAGGAGATGTTCGCCCTCAAGGGTGTTTCCACGTCAATTATCTTCACTAATTGATTATGAGCACACATACACATTGTTGCGACTGCCTATCTGGTGGAGAAAGGAATGATGGAGCCACATGGATGAATCCACCAGCACGCATCATCGGAGATTACGAAACCCACGGTGGAGTTTGTAACCTGCTCAACGTGGAGTGTTTATAGTAATAATAACAATGGTCTCTATCCAGGAAAGCCCGAGCCTCAAGACTCTTTATCGGGAGGGTCCTGCATTCGGATGTTTGGCCATTTACCATCTCGAGTGTTTAGCTTCGTGTGGGAGGAAACCGGAGGACCCGGAGAAATTCGACGCATGCGAGGGGGTGACACTCAGCGTGCCTCCCAGCCCCACGCCGACAACACCTGCCAAGCCCTCTCGATCACCCGTCCGAGTACTACCCAGGCCACAACCGGCTTGGCTTCTGAGATCCAACGAGCTCGGGTGCGTTCAGGGCGATTTTGATCGCCGCTGTTGATGTCGTCTCACTCGGCACCACTGCGGCTTCCACAGAAACGTCGCTGCCATCACGTCCCTCCGAGCACCGCATCGCGCCCCGTACACTACAAGATCCCCCCCGCCCACCGCATCGCACCTCGTACACTACAACATCCCCCCCCCCCCCACCGCATCACATCCCGCCAAGGGTGGCACAGTCGGGTTTTTTACAATCGGGTTTAATTGTCTTTTTATGTTAAACCCGATCATCTGAGATTGGGAGAAATCCGGTTTAATTGGTTCTAATTGCAGAACCGCACTTCGCCAACTTCTCAAAGCTGGGCTTCATCCATTCCAAGCGAAGGAACTCACTGGCGCCCACGATTGTGGAGGAGAAGCTCGTGTTCATCAAGACCAACCTGCCCGCCGCATTCTACGACTACCCCGTGCCCGACGGCCCCCCGAGTACGATAGCAGCACCGACGAGGAAGCAGCCTAAGTCTTCGATCAGAGTTTCGTATTCATTAAACCAGGTTTTATTCCCCGAAATCGGGTTTAATTGTATTAAAGAAAAAACCCGATGCCTGCCGCTGGAAAAATCGGGTTTTTTCCACCCATGCATCCCGCACGCCACAACACCCCCCCACCGCCAACGCAAACGCCTTCCTGCCTGATCACCTCTGCGTCTCGTCCCCTGAGTGACTCGAGTCAGGTTCGACTGCACTAACAAGTGTCGCGGATGCTGCCACTGGATCCTGTCGGAAGGGGAGAGGCGGGGGGGTCAGCTGTCGTCTTCACTGGCCAGCTTTGAACATTGCCCTTGTCCCAGTTGTGCCTCGCTTAACACAGCCACCTTTAGTATATCTCCACAAACGATTTTGTCAATTTTACACCAACTCTGTTCTATTGAACGTATTATTAATTTGTGCCCAGACCTCCTTATACAGGGATAAACATGTGAAATAACGTGGCCTCTCTTGTAGACATCACGTCTGCTAAAAGGCTGATCGCTTTTCGACTTTGTTTTTGTGCATTCTTAACGTGTTTTTTTGCAGGTTAAAATTATACCGTACCACAGTACTGTACTTCCTCAAGTTTTACTGAAAAGCTTCCTTTCATACAGTATCTCCGCTGAATCCGTGCAGGACTCTTATAACCCTAAAACCTTTTAATCATGTTGATTTGAAATAAAAAAGATAAGGTTTTCTGTAATCCTTGCATGGCTAAGCCGGGTGGTGGCTGTACAGATGGCTCTAATCCAGGTCCCAGCTGCTCTGAAGAGTGGTGGGACACCAAAAACTGATCGGTCAAAACGCTGGGGTAGCTACTCCACCCCCACTACCACTGCCATGATAACCACGACTACCACCACCGCCAATCCAATATCTACCACCCTGACCACCTATAAACTAATCTAAACTACGTCTTATATCACCAGGTAAGGCCCACTGAGCTATATAGATATTTTTTTAGAAGCGATCTGGCCACAAATGACAGCTCAACGAAATGGCTCATCGTGTGGAAATGTATAGCAGCCACATAGTCTAAAAGCACGATTCTAAATGTGGAGGGGAAAATCGGAGGACCCGGAGAAAAATCCACGCGACCACGTGGAGAACTCGCAAACCGCAAAATAAACAGGCATCGGGATCGCGATCGAACCCACGAGCTCCTGAATACCAGACGGGGTCGTGAACATCTCGCAACCGTGATGCCCCTACTACCATAATTACCATCACAACTACAAACATTACCATCACCACCACCACTACCTCCACTGCCACCATCACTACCTCCACTACCGTGAACAATACGACTGTCACTAGCACCACTACCGACACTGGAGACTCAAGTGCCTGCTGCCGCAGTACGAATGCGGTGAACGTCGCACAAAGGAACGTCTTTGTCAGTACGCGAAAACATCGCTCAATTTCACTCCGCATCTCCAGAAGCTCTTGACTGGAGATCAAAACTTATAACATCTTACTGTCAAATATTGCAATTCATTTATATGACATGATCACCATCACCAGCAATGCCACGAGCATTGTCACCACTATAACCACCGCCACTACTATCACCACTACGATCACCACCAATGTCACCACAACCATGACCACCATGACCACCAACAAACAACACCACTACCACCACCACCGCCATCACCACCAATGTCACCACAACCATGACCACCACCACAGTGGCGTCACTAGGGAGGTGCGGGGGGGGGCAGACCGCACCGGGTGACACCATCAGAAGGGGTGACACCAAAATGACTGTCCAAAACATTTTTGTGCAGTGTTTCTGCAGAAATTTATTCTTTTTTTTTTATAATAAATATATCCCTGTAGTTGGTTATAACAATTTTTTTTTCGTAAGCCCAGCTTACATGTACTGCATCAATATACATATAAGGCTAAAACTCGTTGCTAATTTACTTTTTCAACGGTTTAACTCAACTTGATTCCTCTGTTTGTCGTGGTCAAATCTTGTAATCAAAATTTCGTCTACTTCCCGTTGTGCAATTAATTCCACATTTTGCACGTGGACTCAGATCCGGTGACAATGCATGCCTGAATCAAAATCGGCATCAATTACTCAATTAATTCGCTACTTTAAAGCAATTTACATTTTGTATGGACGCATTATTATTTATATATATATTTGTGTGAAGGTCAAAAACGCCACAGTCCCTAAACTGTGGAATCGGCTCGCACACAACGCAGGCGCCTCGTGTCTTAGGCGCCATTGACGCACTTCTCGACCGCGAGTTAAACGAAGTTGTTGATAAAACCGTTGTTTTAAAAAAACTACTTTTTTAAAAGGAGTTAATTTAACATTCTAATGCGCTCCGGTCAGAGCTCTCATTGTTACCCAACGACAGTGACGCTTCGAGTCACGTGGTCTCGTCTGCACGTGCTAGGAGCACGCTGTTGTGTTCGTCGCTGCTCGTGTTTTTATTGTCGCTGATTTTGTCAAGATTTCTGGTGTTTTAGCTACAATATTGTGGTAATTAGTATTTGTGAACCTATATCGATAACTTTTCTGAGAATTAAGTCGTAATTAAAGGGAATGTTGTAATTTTAAGGTGTAATTTTAATTTCACTCTTTGGTTCTTTCGGTAAAGTCACGGAGAAAGAAAATAAATAATAGAATACAACGTTTCGATTGCAACACAAGCAACCGTCATCAGGTGTTAATGAATGCAAGCTCGGAGAGAGACAGAGAGAGTGTGTGTCTGTGTCTCTCTCTGCGTGTTTGTCTCTCTCTCTGTATGTCTCTCTGTGTATGTCCCTCTCTGTGTCTCTGTGTATGTCTCTCTGTGTCCCTCTCTGTGTCTCTCTGTGTGTTTGTCTCTCTCTGTCTCTCTCTGTCTCACGCAAATTCGTGACGCGTTCTCTCTGTGTCTCTCTCTGTGTGTTTTTCTCTCTCTCTGTGTCTCTCTGTGTATGTGTCTCTCTGTGTATTTGTCTCTCTGTGTGTCTCTATCTCTCTGTATGTATCTCTGTGTATGTCTCTCTCTCTCTGTGTTTGTCTCTCTGTGTATGTCTCTCTGTATATATCTCTCTCTGTGTGTTTGTCTCTCTGTGTATGTCTCTCTGTATATGTTTCTCTGCGAGCTTGCATTCATTCACACCTGACGACGGTTGCTTGTGTTGCAATCGAAACGTCGTATTATATTATTCATTTTATTTATCTACGTGACTTTACCGAAAGAACCAAAGAGTAATTCCTGCAGTCACGAAAGCTTCAAATGAATTTAAATGTTGCTAGTTGTTGACGTCACTACTATTGCCATTACATTCAGTGATATACGGGAATTACGATGTACGAGTCACATTGGTACAAAACACACGACTCAGG